TTTTTCAATAATAGTAATAATATCCATTTGTACCACAACAAATTTAGACTAATTCAAGGATTCCTGAAAGAAAGGGGAGGAGCAATGAAGGCGGAGGCTTTTCCCCTCCCTCTGGAGTTATGCAAGAACTAGGAACACTGCTACTTAGAGTTATTTTAGGTTTTAGTACACTTTAGTTTTGGCTTTAAACCTGGGCTTTTGTAGCACTGGTGCCTGTGCTGCTGGGTAGAGGGCGAAAGACCCTTCGCTTCCTCCACCTCCCTCCCCCTTCCCTTTCCGCCCTTTCGGCCCCATCCGCCCTCCTTTGGATCAACCTATGGCATCAAACGCTAATTGCTTTTCATGTCAAGGAGGATCTTCATGGAGGTGGCTTCAAAACTGCGCTGTGGTTCGATCTCAGAGGTTGTCATTGTATTTCATTATCCGGCAGCGGGTATTGCCAAGGAACGGTTTGTGCGCATTCACCATCGTTTGTCGTTCCTCTTGCCAGTGTTGTAACTCACATTTCGTTCCACGCTCCGGTCTTTCACTCTTGTTCAAGTTTATGCTAACTTCGGTATTAAAACTATGTGAAGGTAATTCGCTTTTGGATGATTTTGAAGTTGCAAGGAGGTAGCAGATACCAAATAACAGGAAAAGAGTTAGCGATAAGCGGAGGGATTAAATTTTTAGCAGAGATGAGCTTGTAATTAAGGTAGTTTTGTTTCAAAGCAGAAAGCGTCGCCACAACTCACATTTGGCAGTAGTATTTCACGGGAGACTCATGTCTGGGAAATTGTTTGTTGCGATTGTTTTGCCTTTGAATGTAAGAAAATAACCTGATTGTCATCATAATAATTTATAAACCCAAACGAGCAACACAATTTATAATCCAAATGATAAGCTCTTAAACATCAGAGGAAGCGGAGAGCAGCGTATGGCTACTATAGAACGGCAAATGAAAGTTTTGGAGTGGAGCATGATCCTCATACTTTTCTTTGACACAATCCGTCTTGCGAATCGCAACTTCCCTGCGAACAGCCGCCTCCAGCATTGCACGGTTCGCCGAGCTCGTAGATCAAAGTGTTTGGCTTATCCGCGCTGAAATTTTGCGTGACATAAAAATCACTTCACTCTTTTTTTTTGTTGAAAATAAATTTTTTTTTTTTAACACATATTCCAGTTCATTGCTAGATATGTTTCGGTTCGTTAGATTAAGGAGGAATAAACCAGGTAGCAACAAACACCAGGATTCCCAGTGCAGTCATGTGTTTTTGCATTTGACTTGAAGCAATCAGGTCGTTAGCAGTGAATAGTTGTTGTTGCTTCACAGTTTAACAAGAGCACTCGTGTTGATAATGTTTTGGCCTTTCCTTGTAAAAAAGGGCATTAGGATGGTGCTGTTGCACCATGCTGCCCTGCGAAATTTAAATGCATGATTACAGTCAATTCTGCATGAAGGGAAATGGAAAATCCACTATCACCAGTCTTTCTTTGAAAATACGAAATAGATAATGAAGGGGATGTCGAGGAAGAAGGATGACGAAACACGATTAAATTCGGTTGTCTTTGAGGTTGGGATAAAATTGAGTTGTATGTGTGCAGGGAATTCAGCTTTCAAGGCGGATAAAAGCACATGTAGAGTATCCTCGTAAAATTTCAGCTTCCGATACCCTAAAATTTCCAGTACCCTAAATGAACAATTCGCTATGAATATTTTGAATGCGATAAGACAATGGCGCAAGTGCATTTCAAAATTCCATCTTAATATTGTTGGTCGGTACTACGCATTTTTGTTGAGATGCAATAGCATTTCTCTCGATTGGGGTGCTTAAATCGGACTAATCTGGTAATTTCGGCGTCGTTTGATTCTCATTAACACTGTTTAGAAAATATTTCTAAGCTTATTTGTTATTTAATTAGAGCTTACGGGTTGCTGTATCGGCAGACAACGAAGATCGAGGCTCCAGTAACTCCGCATGCTTTTCTCATGCCACAGCCAATCTTGTCCGTTTTGCCCCAGGCCATCTAAAAGATATAGGTTCTCGATGAGCACAACCAGTCCCAATGCACACACCCCAACGAAAAAAGTTAAGACTGCTAACTGCCGTTTGCCGCCCTTCCATAGCACGTTAGGTTAATGAGCCGGGTAGCATAAGTGCCAGTTTTGGTAAGTCTGCTATCTCAAAGCCTTAGAAGTCATTCCGTCATCAGAGATGCTAGGGGCCATACACCCCACATGGTTCCAAACTGAGAAATAATTTCTCCGTCAAGGATGCCCGGAGTCAAAACGCTCTACAACTAAAGTCCTATTCTGCTGGATGATGTTTATATTATGAAATTTGAGTTTTGTGGATTTTTTTAAAAACTTACCAAAGTCTTCCGAGTGTACTGTAAGGTGATAATATTTCGATACAGAGTTTCGTAACACTTCTAAGACTTGCTTTTAGAAGTTAGAGAGTTCTGAGGAACAAATGGAAACTAGCTTCAACCAGGTATAGTGAAGGTCTGACCTGAAGAAAATGCTGGACTTCGTTCATCATCACTTGCAACGTCATTTTGTTCTTTGGGTTATTTTTGTAATTTCTGGACACTTCGCTCCACCAGCTCTGTATGGATTCAGCAGGCGCCTTGTTAAGCTTTTCTACAAATATCGGGCAGTTCATGGATGCAGCCAATCTGGTTGCAAAAGCTGTTCATTGCTTATTCGGGATAGGACAGTAACAGATTTCACTTTCTTATATAGATCCCTGATTTTAAGACAAAGGGAAAGCAATAGTTAAAGCCTGAAAATCTCGGGCCACTGACGCACTGCAAAAAGATTACCTTCAACATGGTCGGGAGCATACACAATGAAAACATTCTCTCCAGCTCCGTTTCTTTCATATAGCGGTGAAGGAATCATTTTGCAGTCGTCTGCCCAGAGCTGAGCCTCTCTCTCCAAATTGCAATCCCAGCTCTGAACGTACACAGCATGTTATCAGCTTCAAATTTACTAGAGCAGAATTTTAGCTTCCGCTCCAAACTGCTCTAAGTATTTGTAAAAAAATTTTCAAGTTCTGGGAATTAAAGCAACGATTAAGACATGTAGGATCATTCATCTTAGAACACGATAAAGCCGAAGGTTCATAATTTGTGCATGAATTTGGTGAAACATTCGTAAGATAGCCTCACCTCTTCACGTAGGTTTTTTGATGTTAGAAAAAACTGCTCTTGCCTCGTTCTGGATTTATAATCTTAGCTGGCGTCCAACTATGATTATGGTCCAGGACGTAAAAAATTACAGAATCCGATCTGCGGTCATTTAATTCATTATTGTGCTGTGAAATATAGTCAAAAGCTTAGATGGATGCTTCGCTCGCCTATTTTGGATTTGCAAGATCAGTTGAAATATTGACATGGGTCACAGGTTAGGAAATT